CTGAAACAGTCTACAGTATTGACATGTAAAGAGTGTCCTTCTCTAAAACATTTTGTAAACATTTGTGTCAGATGTTCAAGTGAAATAATCCAATTAAGGACTGAAAGAATTGGAAATTTTAAACTTTTAATGAAAATGCAGCTGTAATGTCAAAACTAGATCCTGAAACACATTTTTGCTATATTTGCATCTTCAGCTCAGTTGTGTTCAAAATGCCTCTAGGCTTGTTAGTTAAGTATTGTTAAATCTGAAGGAGGAAGTATTTAAGTATTTTTCTGTTGGAGTCATCATGAGAGAGAGAGCACTGTAATGTGTGATAATATTAAACTTGGTATCTACCACCTGCTGGTATTTACCAATGCCCAAAAGTGGTATCCACTGATTTATTTTGTTTTATGATGTGGAACAGTCTTCATTTTCATCTATGTAAACTTGTCTATGTAAACTTGATGCAATAAATTGATCGTTTTGTGATTCATACTAGCATTCAATTTGAAGCTTTTAAAAATTATTATAGTGGGGGTAAATAGGAATATACATATTATGATATTGATGAATGTGCGTGCTAAATATATAGCTAAAAATAAATGGGTTATTTACTCTAAACTGTTTGTTTTCTAAATAAAGACTGACAAAGGATTTGACAAAGCTACTTTTGAAAACCAGATGTCTGTTATGAGGGGGCAGGTAAGACTGCTTTTTTACATTTTTATTTGTGTATTTAATTTGTTCATCACTCCTCAGCTGCTTTCTTTAGAGCTATAAAAACTAACTCCTAATACACTGAACAACATTTGAAGGTATTTTCATTTGAGAAGACTAAATTTCTTTCTAGAGTTTGTTCTTATTTGTGGATAGATAAAACAGTGAACAGTGGACAGTGTATGCTGTTTTTTTTAATTTTTACAGAAAATGCTTTTATTCTAATTCTGTTTTATTGTTTTTGTGGAGAATGGGGGACTTAACTGTGTATTCTTAGCAGATATTTTAAAAATGAAAAAGAGTCATCAATTTGGATGGAAAATTTGATGTCTAATTTCATTATGCCATTAAAATAAATGTGACTTTTGTTTTAGAGGGTTGACATGATTATTAAAAGCAATATTGGGTAATAAAATTTCTTCATCCTAGCAAATGTTGAAACCATACTTCAAAGCAGTCCAGCCATTTTTAGGTTAGAAATTTGATCATATTTAAGTGCTGGGCTTGTTTTGTTTTGCTTTCTGGGTTGTGGTCTTTTTTTTAAAAAGACTAAAGTAAGTGAGGAGGGGGTTTCTCTATTTTCTCCTATTATACAATTTGACTATTGGAAATACTGGAGAAAAAGCTTTAGCTAAGAACAAATTTAGTTCATTGTAGGTAAAAAAAAGTGATTTCTGCAAGTGTAAGGTAATTGGACTAGGCAAATTAATAGTCCCATTTGCCCTGAATTTATTGAAACCTAGTCCTTGTGTTCATAAATTCAACATAGATAGTTTTAAGCCAGACAATTCCTAGAGTGTCTTAATTCAGTGTTTTCTCTGTAGAATTTCCTATATCAAGATGCACCTTGCACAGGACTCTAGCTCTGCTTAGTCAAACATAATCCCAGTTAACATCTTCTGTGTGGTAGCTAAAAGACAGCAATCCTTACTTACTAAATTGAATTATAGGAGTTGTTTCTGAAATAACTCTTCTTAGAAGTTCATGTAGTCACTGGAAGACGGGTTCTTGAAGTACTTGTGCATCCTAAACTGTATTAAATAGCTCTTTTCTGATGAGACAATTGGCTTCAAGGAATCTGTTATTTAACAAAACACTTGAGGAAAAACATGACTGATATAATTGAGAGTGACGTAGCTGAGGTTGTCAAAACTAATTTTCTACTATAAGGGCTGAATCTGGACCCTTTCTTCACACACTGTCTCTCAGGTGGGTTTTAGCAGGTATTTGTTTTAGTTTTGGGGTCTTGTTTACCTCTCTCTAGCTATGTAAGGGTGTGTTTCACTGTGGGAAATGTCAGGTTTTGAAGCATGGAAGAAATGCAGATAACGAGCAATCCTTGGATGCTATTGGAAATACATTGGCAAACAATGCCTTTTAGCACTGATTTTAAACTTGGTTTTGGTGTAAAACCAAAGTATGTTACAAGGGCATTATAGAAGACTTGGGTATCTAGATCACATGCTAAGAGATTCATTCAGTTGGGATGAATTTGCAGTATATCCAAAGCATCCAAATACATCCTTATGAGAATTTAAGTATTAGAAAATGAAGAATCTAGATAAAGTAACTGTAGGGAAACATACCTTGCATGGAAGAGTCAAGGTCTTTAAATCTAAGATAGCAAGTGTAGTTAGAATCCCATTTCTGTGAGGTGTAGGAAAAATTTTGGGAAGGGTTTCAAACCTAAAAGAAACAGTTCTCTCAATAATGTAGAGTCTAAGCAAAGGGTAACACATCTACAAAGGGTTGCCTTAGAACTTTGAGAATGTAAATGTCAGGTGAAGTTGCTGGCAGAACCAAATCGCAGTAAATAATGCAAAAGACTTTTTGGGGTTCTGTGGCCATGGAAGAACAGAATAAGCAGAGGATCAGTCTTACAAGGAAGAAGGGGGCATTGTCCGTGGGAAAAAAGGCTTGATATTAAGGATAATGCAAATGTGTCACTAGAGCTAAATTGAATACCTGCCTCAGTTTTCAGCAGGATAACATTGAACTTGGAGTAAGTTATGAGGGCAGTCCATGAGCACTGAAGTGAAAGATAACAGAAAGAAAGATAACAGACTCCTTGGAGCTGAGGACTCAGTTTGGGTCTTAGCACTTGGTTTGGTATAAGCTAATTATATGGCTTCATATCTTCTGATATGAAAATAATTTGTATCTAAACTACTGGTACATTCTATGATCATGTTGATGGCTTTCTTACAGGTTTTTTTTCCACTAAAGGTGCAATGCTTTCAAGAGATGTGCTAAATTTAAAATGCTCTTAAGTTTTTCACTCTTAGAATTTTGTGAAAATTTGGAGAGGACTGAACAAAATAGTCAGGAAAAGAATGGAAGGGTGGACAGCAGTAGGATGTATTCATGTTACTAAGTAAATAAAATATTCCTGCTTGCAATAGATATATTTTGAAATGAATTTATTCAGCAGTACAGTCCTCTACAGCATTGATTGAAGAGTGGCATCTAAAGTGATCAGCCTGTTAGCCACAGTTTTATTTGTGCGCCCTAACCTCACCTGCTTTTACTCTTTTTAGATACTAAACCTGACTCAGGCATTAAAGGATGAAAAGAGTCCCATTCAGCTTGTTCAGATGCCACGTGTGATTGTAGAGCGGAGTAGCACTGGAAGTCAGGGCCGAATTGTTCATCTGAGTAATGCATTCACACAGACCTTTCATAGCAGGAAGCCTTTCTTTTCCTCCTGGTAGCAACAAAAATACGTGGGAAGAGTAAGTTTCTCTTAACTTTAGAAAGCTACTTCTGTGTAAAGGCTCTGCAATAATGTACTTCTGCTGTATACCAAGAGCTCTGACTGCCAACACCTCAGAACTTAAATCCTAAAGACTTAAGAAATGTATTTTGAATGTAATAAAAGTTTACAATTTTTGTGTCAGAATTGTGAATTCTTATGTCAGGGAATGAAAATAATTTGTCCATACTGTATTTTTATAGGCTAATTTAATGTATTCTGAATAATATTCTGGATAAGGGAAGAAAATTTGCATATACTGAGAAACTAATTTTGAGTACAATAGGAATTTTTTTGTTTAATATAAATGTGAGAATCCATACACTATAAATTTCTTTTTATATGGCCTTTAAAAAAAAAGTTGAGAATGTTATCTTTGATTGTGAAAATGCTTTTCTTTGGAACTTCTTCCTGGTATTTTAAACTGGTTATAGATTTTTGTAGACTAGTTACTTGAAAAGTCATGCACTTAAAAAAAAAAATCAATCTGTCCTTGAAATACAAGTTAAAGAAATGGAGAAGGAGGAAAAATGCTCCAAGTAGGCTTTTTTTTTTTTTTTTGCACGCAGGGACCAAAAATAGTTAAAGAGTTGAATTACAGCAAAATTCAACCCAAGTAAATACGCAGTTTCTACTGTGACGAAATACACTAAGTGTATGTTTCAGAGGCTGAAATTTCACTGTAGTGTTTAGCACATGTATATTTAAGCACATGTTTGGAGATGTGTGGTATTTCTTTGGAGCTGCATCACAATGAAGGAATTGAATTGCACCGTGTTGTTACAGGTTTGTTTTTGCCATTCGTGTAAAAAAGTGTTCAGCTCTTGTCACCAGAGCGGTTGTTCTGCTAATGACAGAGGCACTAATGTGTTCATCGCAAAGCCAGTCTGCCTTCTAAATTCCTAGCTAAACACGGTTTGTTTGGGTTCTTTTGACTGGGAGAAAAAAAAAAAAGAAAAAAACCTGGAATACCTACAGTACAGAGAACTACTTTTGTGCCCTGAATAATGTTGTGCTCATCTGCCAATTGCCATTTGCATTTATGTTTAAGTTACCTGGTTTAAGACTTGACCGTCATGTTTCTAGGTCTGTGACTTATGTAATGTGGTAAATATTTTTATTTTAATAATTTTCTGGACACTTAATTTAAGACTGGGGAGAAAGATTGCTGCTTTTATGAAACTTTCAGTATTTCAGACATTGCTGTATTTTGTAATTCTAAGCAATATTGTTGAATTCAGAAATAATAAAATGCTTGTATTTTATATAATTTTGAGTGGATGTGAATATTTAATGTAGCGTGTCAGCAACTTCAACAACCTGAAATATTTAAACCTTAACCGCAAACCACGGTCAGTGCCGTTGCAAAGGGAGGGCCAGGCCTGTGTTCCCTCGCCGTGGCTGTCTCTGGCCGAGCGGTGCGTTAAGGGGCGGCCGCTGCCGGGCGCGGCTCCCGCGCGTCCCTCAGGCAGGGCCGCGGCCCGGGGCCCGCCCTCCGCTGGGGGCGCCATCCGCCCGCGCGGCGCGGTGCCCGTCGGGACGGAGGCGGTGCCATGGCGGCGGCGGGCCCGGAGCGGGAGCGGCCGGGGCCCGCAGCGCTCGCCCTGCTCGGGGCGGCGCCCGGCGCGCCCAGCTGCCCTCACGGTGAGCCGGGCCCGGGGCTCACCTCCCGGGCGTCCCTGTGCTCGGCTCCTGATGCGCTCCCGGCGCGGGCTGTGTTGCAGCAGCCCTTGCGGAGGCAGTGTTCTGGAAGCTCGGCTCTTGCAGCGGAGCAGTGAAACAGGTCTGCCGGTGTTCCCTGCGTTATCCTATCCTCGCGTTTGTCCCTAGGTCCTGCACTTCTGTTTGTGAAGACCAGCCAAGGAAAAGAGGAAGGAAGAAGATTCTATGCTTGTTCCGCTTGTAGGGATAGAAAGGATTGTAGCTTTTTTCAGTGGGAAGATGAAAAGGTAAGAGAGCACTGTTTAAGGCTATGCTGAAGACTCAGGGCTACGAAGGGGGGCAGAGGTCTGGAGCGGCTCTCCTGTGAGGAAAGGCTGAGGGAGCTTGGGTTATTCAGCGTGGAGAAGAGAAGGCTCCGGGGGGACAGTATAGCAGCCTCCCAATACCTGAAGGGGGCCTCCAAGAAATCTGGAGAGGGACTTTTTGCAAGAGCATGTGGTGGAAAGGCAAGGGCTGATGGTTTTAACATTAAGAGGATAGGTTTAGATGAGATATTACAGTGAGGGTGGCAAGGGACTGGCAAAGTTGCCCAGAGAAGCTGTGTATGCTCCATGCCAGGAAGTGTTCAAGGCCAAGCTGGGTGGGGTTCTGGATAACTTGGTCTGGTGGGAGGTGCCCCTATGCATGGCAGGAGGGTTGGAGCTGGAGGATCTTTATGTCCCTTTCAACACAAATCGTTCTATGGTTTTATGAAACTTTGGCGATTTTTTCATCTGCTTAGCAATTTTAAAAGTGTATTTTATTCTGGAAATCTCTGGCAAGTGCTATTTTCTAAGCTTTGTGTAATAATTGATATTTAGCTGAGCACTTATTTCTGTTAGGAGAGTGTGTTTCAAGTAAAGCTTTCAAGAAAGGCTGTGTACATTTTGAACAAACCTGGTGCTTGTTATTCTATTGCCAAAACATAAAGGAAGTTTGGCAATGCTATACAATGTTGAACAAAATTGGGTACTTCTGATCCCTAAATGCCCTTGTTTCCCCTGATTAAGACAGAGAAAATCTATTGGATACAAACAACAATGGGGTATACAAAATGCTGAGATGGTGGGGCTTGGCATGATGCTCAGTAGTCTCAAAATATCTGCAGCAATTTCTCTTTTCTCAATTTTCTCATTCATTTTGAGTATTACTTGTATTATGATGTCTTTTCTTGAACTGAATTTTACTGTCTCCTCCTTTAAGCAAAACAGTTCCATAAGTTTTGACCAAATGTTTTGAAACTCTGTTGTGAAACCATGAGGATGTTTTGTGCGAACAAAGTAGAAGACTCAGAGAAGAGAATGAGAGACTGAAATGTTAAAGACTCAGGTGCAGATCGTAACAAGGAGCTGTCATGCTTGTAAAATGATTTCACATGAAAGACTTGGGCAACATTTCTACTGTCATCAGTTTTTCAGGATCAGATCATAGTTCTTCAGAGGGAGCACAACTGCTGGCACACATTAATAGAAAGGATGGCTCTTTCTGTCTTCCTCATAATCACCTTTTGAGTTTTTCTCTGTGTATTGCATGTGATAGGAAAATGAAATGCACAGTTTAAATTCACAATGAGAGGCTTGTGTTGTTTTGCAGCATGCCCCTCTGCTGCAGGCATACTTGTTCTTCTAAAACAACAAATGTGATTATTTTTCCTTGCAAAGTAGCTAAAGCATGAGACCTTTGATGCACCCTTTTTCATGTTGACATTTGATGTACCACACACAGCATTAGCTGTTAGTTTTGTAACTTTTCATGTATGCACATTTTACAGGTGTCAGAAACTAGGCTTGCAGCACGTGAAGAATATAATAGAAGTCATCAGCCTTGTTTTACACACAGACAGAACGTGGACAGGTATTGTTAATGTGTATTTTCTTCAATAAAGATGTAGTAATGCAGGTTTAGGTACTCTGAATGTAGAGATAACATTTCAGGATTCTTTAAAATATGCAAAGATGAATTTGGGCAAATAAGAATTGTTGTATGGCAGTGGAAAGGAAATAGCATGAAACACTGAACTAGAGCATGGTGTTTTCAACCCAGGAACTGGGGTGGAGGGGCTTGGGTTTTTTTGGGGTGTGCATAGTCATTCCTGTGTTAGTGCTCAGTGTGCTTACAAGAGGTCACTAGCAATTTCTGTTAAAAAAAAATGTATTCCTGACTTTAGTCTGCAAAAGTAATAGGCTTAACATTGTGAAAAGAAGCAAAGGTAACATAGCAGCAAGTGATATCTGAATTTTGTGTATAAACATACAGGACTTTGCTGATAGTTGATGGAGTCTTCACTCTGTAATCTGGTTATTATATAAAGATTCCCATATATTTGGTGACAATATTTTATGCATTTCAAAGTGTCCTTTGAATATTTTTTTTTTTAATAATACTTCATTCTCGTGGAGTTTTGTGAGAGCAGTGTAAACTGCATTGTCTGTTTAAATGTCTGAACTCCTAAAATATAAAAAAAAAGCCTCCATAGTTCCCCTTCCTATCTTTGATAGAGGTATTTCCCAAACTTTGTTCCCTATTGTCTTTTGTATTTAAAGGTACAAGAATTTTGTTCTGTTGCCGTTATCAAAGAGGAGGTTTTGCCAGGAATGCCAGCAGTTGCTACTGCCAGCAGAATGGGAAAAACACTCAGATCACCAGTTCCTGTGTGATATCACCACTGCCCAGCTGAAAAGTCCAAGTCAGCTTCTGTATCCACTGGAGAATAAAAAAACAAATGCACAGTATTTATTTGCAGACAGAAGTTGCCAGTTCCTACTGAATCTCCTTAAAGATTTAGGATTCAGACGAGTGCTCTCTGTTGGAACACCCAGGTACATCACTGAGAATTGTTACATTTTCAAATAATATTTCTCTCTCAAAACTGTACAGCTTCTAATGATTACATAGTCAATGATTCTCCCATAGTAAGAGGTTCTCTATGCTTTAATTGGTTGGGGTCCAATCCAAGCAATTGGATATATCCAGGCATCTAGTGGGGTCTAGTTTTGAACTTACAAGATACCAGACAAGAACGTGGCAGCACTGCAAATAACACACACACTTCAGATCTCTTTGGTAGTTGTGGAAGTGACATTGAGTTTCTTACCTTATGCTTTTTTGTGTGCACTGATCCTGGAGACTCCACTGACTTGTCATCTTTCAAGACTCACCTATTTTTCTCACTTGGAGTATAGGTCAAATGGAATCATCTAAGTTTAGACTACTCTGTTTTTTCTATCTGTTTGGTTTATGTTTAGTAAAGTACCTGGCATTCTTGTCTTGCAAGATCATTTCTGAAGTTGATCATTATGTGTTAAATTTCTTCCAATTATACTTCAGGCTTCATGAAGTGATCCAGTCAAAAGCATCACAAGAAGAAGAATTCAATGTTAGAAGCCTTCTGCTAGATATTGATTTCAGGTAGGTTTTAACAAATGTTTATGTACCTGAAGAACATATACAAAGATGTGTATTCTTACTGCTTTAAGAGATAAATTGGTGGTTGTTTTCCCTTTCTTGTCTCTGCATCTCTGTTCCTGTACGCATACACAAATGATATCCAATTGATGAAAAAAGTAATATACTTAATAATTTCTCAGTATTGGTATGTGTCATCAGTAATCAGAACCCAAAGATGATGTTTTTCCTGAGGCCTGTTTTCACTCTTAGGTATCCTATCTTAGGATAGACAAAAAGTTATTTATATTTTTCTACTCCTATCAAAACTTATTTTACAGGTATTCACAATTTTACACAGAGGATGAATTTTGCCACTACAACATGTTCAATCATCATTTTTTTGGTGGAGAGGTAAGGCCAAGTATTTATTGAGTGCTTTGGTAAAAAAGTGCATGTTGTTGATGCAGAATTTTGTAAGAAACTCACGACTAGTCTAGCAGAAAACATCATGGGAAAACATGAATTCATTAAGAACATTTTAATAGAAGCAGCAATTAAGGTGTGTAAGCAACATTAGATAGCATAAATTTAATAGTCAATTTTGAATTGAATGGAAGAGAACTGCTGAAAAGGAGGCAGTTTCATTCTTTGATTTTCAGTAATGTTTTTATATGTTAGCTGAACAAGCCACTTGTTTTCAGTCCTTCAAATCTAGGTGCATTTTTTGTGGTGTTTCTTTTTAATGCTACCTAAGAGGAAATTCACCTCCACAAGAGGGAAGCAAAGTCCCATCTTCAAAGTTAAAACTTCTGCAGTGATCGGTTTATTACCAGAGACAATATGTGTACAGTTCTTGAATCATGATTTCTGGAAATTAACCTCTGTTTCTTACAGGCTGCACGTGAAACTTGCAGGAAATTCTTGTGTGAAGAGAATGGTGAAAGAGTCATTATGGTAACTGATCCCCCATTTGGAGGTTTAGTGGAAGCACTGGCTTCTAGTTTTAAAAAACTGATGGCAATGTGGAGTGAGACAGAAAAAGAAGGTATGTATTACAGGCAGATGGGTGGCTTGTGCTGTAACATCACTTTAAGGAAAAAGTACCTATTTATAAGTCTGTGATTCTTGCTACTCAGGTGAATGTGAGCTCACTCATGTTAAAATTTCTAAAGATGAGCTATCATGTACCTAATTTACTCTCCTGGTATTTTTAGTTCAGTAATGCCCAATTCTCAAATTCTATCTTAAAAACTTTTCCTTTTTTTTTTTTTTCAAATCTACTTTGCAATTAAAATGGACTTTAAAGGTAGAGAAAAGCTATCAAACTTTTCAGTACATTTTCTTAGCAACCTAAGTGGAAGTCAAGAGTTTAGTTATATGGCACTTACATCTCCACATGTAGAACATGCCAAAACTTTCTGTTGCCTGAGAGAACTAATTCTTCTGCCCAGCATGATGTACATATCCATGTTTATGTATTTGAAATGTTCACTGTAAATTTCTCATGCTACATGTACTATGTTTTTCTCCTATGTACACCACAGTTTTTTCATTACTAGATCATGACAACAGAGAGATGCCCATGTTCTGGATATTTCCATACTTCTTTGAGTCTCGCATTCTTGACTTTTTCCCAAGCTTCAGTATGATGGATTACCAGGTATGGCTGAACCCAGTGAATCTGCTAAATGCCAGTTGTGTGCAGTGAGTGAAAGCAGGTGCAATGGCAGTGCTCCTCTGTAGCTGGGCCTTGTTCATGTGACGCCTGGATTCTGTATTTCTATTAGTCATATCTGTGATAGATCATGTTCCTGTTACGTGTCTTTAACTCATGTGTCATTTATCCATGAACTCATTTCTTTTGGCAGGCTTTCAGTATAACAAATTTGCACTAATTCTGACAGGTGCTTGTTGCAGATGTGAGAGGTGGTGAAGAGTATTTCATTCTTCACAGATGTTAAATGTCAGTGGGTAGTGCCCAGACCTAGGAAAAAACCCCCAAACATATGTATTACAAAATTAAGGTCTTTTATCTCCCAACTACTGGGATCAGAGTACAATTACAATGATGGAAATGTTTGGAATTGCTTAATAAGTGAGCTTGTCAGTGATAAAGCAATAATCTGGCATCAGCTTCTTCAATATTGTATCCATTCTGTGCATAGTTTAGGCACACATACTTCAGTGTGTTTTGAGAGCTCAGTCGTGGTATTCATGATGCTAAAGGTTTATTTTTTCATGTAACAACTCTGCATGAATTTTGGTATTGATGTTCTGAACAATGTGTCTTGTAGAATGAAAATTGTTGAAGAAAATGGAAAACTCATGCTAGGCTAGACTGCATTTCTGCCAGTGTTCAGAGCTGAGAGTTTTTGTTACAAGTCTCTGAAGGCAGTGCTGGAAAAAGCAGGCTGATTAGATTTGCAACTTTGTAATTTTTCTGAGATGGGTTAGGTTGTCATCTCTTGTACTGACAAACCAAGCTTTATAAATCCTTTTTTAATAGCAGGTTGCTCTTGTAATCAACTGAAATGTTATCTTACATATCCCATGCAAATGAATAAGTAAATAAAAAGGAATAAATACAATATGATTATTGAAGTGTTGGGAGTCTAGCCTAATACTATGTTTGCACAAATTTACAGGTAAATCAGTCAAAAAACTTGATGTAGAATTTGTAATCTGATTTGGGATTAGAGTCTTGTATATAAACACAAACATTTCAGAAGGCACTTAGAAAGATAATAAATATGTAAGTAGTTCTTCTTGGCATTCAGTTTAAGAATTTTTTTATGGTTTTATTTTTCTAGGTAGACTATGATAATCATGCACTGTATAAACATGGCAAGACAGGTCGTAGACAGTCTCCTGTCCGTATTTTCACGAACCTTACCCCAAATATGATTGTGCTTCCTGAAGAAGAGGGATATAGGTAAGATGTATTAATGCTCAGGTGACTTTTGAAAGAGTGTCTTTGTTCTTAATTAGGGCATAAAGTCTCCAAAGGAGTTTGGGATGGTGCTTTTCCATAGTGTCTTGCCTAACTTGGATGCCAGGCTTAAGACCACATTTTTCTGTCTCATTCTAAAGTTGCATATTATATAAACAATGTGTAGGAGAGCTGAAATGTCTAAAAAGATGTTTAAATTTTTTAATGTGGAATGATTAGATTCCTTATTTTTTCTGTAAGAAATACTGTCTACATCTACAATACAATTTTACAGCTATGTCTGATAATCAGCTGAAAATACAGTAGTAAAAAAATTAACTTGTAAGAGAAGCATCAAGGACAGAGGAATTTAGTTTCATTTACTACTGACACTGTTGATAATTTGACCTGAATTTTACTGAGTGGATGTACTGTGTGTAAATGGCCTAAGTGGTCATTTATGCAGCAAAGATAGAATTTTTAATTCAACAAAATGATTATGCAGTCCTTGTATTAGTTGTTAAGGTTGTATAAAATTAATTGTTTTGTGAGCAAATAGTGGACCAGTACATCTTTTTCCCCAGATTTTGCACTGTATGTCAGCGATATGTTAGTTCTGGTAACCAGCACTGTGAGATATGCAATTCGTGTACATCAAAAGTAAGTCTTTTCACTTCTTTCTGAATCGAAGTCTTAGCAGTAGTTAGATAACAACCTCTGTAATACTTGCTTTGGTAAAAACCTGTTCTGATACTGAGTTCCATGGGAAACCCAGAGCAGTTCAGTTTCATAGATTTATTACCTTCACAGTACATTTTCCATAACCCACTGGGAATTAATTTCTCTTTCCCTAATTCCTTTGTGTTGCAAAGAGGACAGGACAAGTTTGCTGCTTGCCACTTAGACCCGAACGTACCCAGCTGTGGTCTGTTGACACATGCATTTTTGCTTATGCTTTGAAGTTGTAGAACTTGCCAATTTCAAAGTTTCTTCTGTGGTTTTCACAGATTCTCAGGACTGTTGTTTCTCAGTTACAATCCTTCCTACAGAGGAGTTGTTCCTGTAAACAGTGGGGACCATACATGAGTAGTTCTGTTTTAAGATAGAATCAGTGGGGGGGTTCAATAAACCAAACTATTTATTTGCCTTTTGTAGGATGGCAGACGATGGAAACATTGTGTTCTTTGCAAGAAATGTGTAAAGCCCTGTAAGTACAGAAAAATATTTTCTAAATAAAAGTGCATTTAGTCCAAAGAAACTGAAATTCCAAACCAGAAGAGAAAATATTCTATGAAAGAAGTGAAACGTAATTCAGAAGACACAGAATAAACAAAAAGTCTCAATTTCACACAAGCTACTATTCTTTAGTTTAGCTGTACGTGCACTCTGTGGGAGTGGAATAAATTCTTGCCAGGGCACACTGAATCCCATTTATATTTATCATGGCAAAACAGAAATATTTCCATTTGTCATATAAGTATTTCCTAATTTTCTAAACTTTCAATTTCCTAAACAAGTAGGCAAGTACTAAAATGTTTGAGAGATCATGATAAAATTATGCTTCATGCACAAATTTAGTCGTATTTATACCTCTGTATAAATTGCTGAAGCCATTATCTTTGTTACTGTTACAACAATCAAAATCTGTAGAGTACATTGTAACATCTGCACTATTTTTATTTTGAATAAAACACACAGGATAAAAGTTCTAATGGCAAAGTAGTTCACACTTAATTCGACAGTATAACTAGTAATGTGATAAGGGACCAGAAAATGACTACATCTATCTTTGTAAAGCTAATCCAGAGTTAAAAACCTGATAATGTAGCCTATATTTAAAGCTTAGTTTCAGAACATTCATTCTAAACTTTTCCAAGATCATAAGTTGTGTTATGTATTTTGCAGCTTGGTTTCACTGTAACAATTGCAACTGCTGCACTCTTCAAAAGCACAGCTGTGAGAAGACTGACGCTGGCTGTTTCGTTTGTGGCAAGGCAGGTCACAAGCGCAGTGCCTGTCCCAGTCTCTCCCGCAGCAGAGCAGCTTGTCAGTAAGTGTGATATTGCATTAATACAGTAAAATACAGCTTGCAGATGAGATGAGATCTTATGTCATGGAATCAATTCAGAAAAAGATGATTTTGCGCTTTAGGTGCTGATGTCAGCTTTCCCTGTTGCCCACTTGCTGCATTGCTGGGGAGTACATACTGAAGGGAGGGTGTGATAAAAGGCAGATCACTTACTGGGGCTCCCAATTCCCTGTCTGTGGGTTTTCTTTCAAAACTGATCTGTATGGACTGCAGACTTGGTGACTGGTGCATGGAGCTCTGTCAAGATGAATGAAAATTGACGTAATGGAACACTTTTATCCCCTTTGAATTCCTCATGAAAGGGCAGAGAAAAGAGTCACTATAATAAGAGTCACTAAAAGTCACTAGTTATTCCTTCCTGTCTCTTTTGCTTTGCTGTAGCATATTTTGCTTTTTTCCTTCTGGTACTTCAGGTGCTTTTTGTAGTATGATCTAAATCTCCACCATTAATGAGGATCACACTGAGTACTTTTATTCTTCCATGACTTTCCTTTTGTTACATACAGAACAACACTGTACATATACCTGTATGTATCAGAGAGCCAAGTAAATGATGTGTGGTTGTCTTCAGATGGAACTAACTGAAAAGAGGAAATGGGATTTGCTAAGCGATGATCCAGCAGATGGCTCAGTCTTTCCAGTTCAGGATAATTGATTGCACTTCTATTAATTCCTCTCCAGAGTAGTGGGTTTTTCTGTGATTTTGGACTTGAATGGCTGTAGCAGTGGAAGGCAAATTTTCTCTCCCAAAAGCTGTACCTGTGTTACACAGTGAGACTCAGACCATTACCCTCTTGGATCAGTATCCAGAGACTTGTCAGATGCCTGCTGGATGGCAGATGGGTACAGGTGTATTGCTTCATGTCCTACTGATACTTAGCTGGGTTTTGATTGGGGAGTATTAAACACAAAAAGTTTCATTTTATATATCTCTCATAAAAATTCCATCTCTTAATGTTTCTTTTTCCTTTGCTAAAAAAATTAAAAAGGATGCTAAAAGAATTTCATGAAACCTCATCTGTTTTTTTTCTGTCAAGGAAGATACTGTTCTGTCAGTTGTGCCGGAACAGTTTTAGTACTTTCAGGCCATCAGTTAGTTCTTTTGCTGATTCATTGAAGGAGATAACTTAGTTTTCTTTTTCTAGTAAAAATTTTGTATGTTTTGTTATAATTACTCAGCGTTTTGCATTATGATGTCTTTTGTCAGAGACAGGAAACAATCCAATTGCTAGTTGTATTTAGGTCCTGTACTAATTGCAAGATGCTTCCTAATAGTGTTAAACTTCACATACTTTCTTCTAAGTCTTTCTATTATATATTCAGCATGAAACTCTGTGTGTGCTTTTGGTACTCAATGAGTGAGTTTCTCGTTTTCAATATCTGTGTAAATTTAAATGCTGAATAAATACATAAATGAGTGTATAATGGCAATAAAGTGGACAGTTTTGTGAAGTTGAAAGACCATAACATTTTGAGATGTAATGTTTGTTGTACTTTTTGTGACAGTACTTCACATACTGTCACATAATTCATATACTTATTTAGAATGCCAGCAAATGTATTTGTACAGAGAAGTGTGTTTTTCATTTTATTCTAATCTCTGTGTTCCTTTTTTTGCTTTACAGACCTGACAAAAAGAAAGGGCAGAAAACTCGAAAGAGAATAAAAATGGGAATCTGTAAAAGATTAGCTATGAAACATGCCATATTCTCCAAGAGGAAAGTAAAGAATAAGAAAAAAAAGACATGACTTTTCTTGCTGCTACATAGTTGCTAATTTATTTTTTATTGTCAGCCTTTTGTTCCATTTTTTAAAAACGTAAGTGCTAACATCCAGAATAAAACCTGATTGAATTAAGTGACAGTTCCTTTATTATACATCATTACTGGTACCAAAAAAAAAAAAGCGACCCCAAAAACAACTAAGCGAACTACTGCAGCCCTTACCATGTATTTGTATAATGTGATATTTTTGTAGTTAGGATTAGCTATTTGTCTAATTTGGTGGGTATTGGATGTTATGGGTCGTTATGCTGAGAGACGAGGTACTGGCAGATGATCTGATTTTATGTTGGTGTTGGAGGATGTGGGGCAAGGGAGGAAGTGAGGGTAGGTGATGGGAAGACACGAGTTCTAGGAATTCAGTCTCTGTTAGTTACAGTCGTCTCACAGGACGGCTTGTGAATTTTTAAAAATTTCTCTCCAAACCGAAAACGGGCTTAAAAAAAAAAAAAAGTATTTAGTACTAAATAGTACCTAGTAAGTGAGCAGAGAGGGAAGAGCCTGACCCGCCTCCCCGCGCCCGCCCTGGCTCGGCGCTGCGGCGGCTCCACTGCCGAGGCCCGCCCCGCTGCCGGGATCTCCCGCATGGCTCCGCCCCGCTGCCGGGATCCCCCGCATGGCTCCGCCCCGCTGCCGGCATCCCCCGCCCCGCTGCCGAGGCCCGCCCCACTGCCAGAATCCCCCGCCCCGCTGCCGGGATCCCCCGCCCCGCTGCCGAGGCCCGCCCCGCTGCCAGAATCCCCCGCCCCGCTGCCGGGATCCCCCGCCCCGCTGCCGAGGCCCTTGCCGCTCGTTGCCGCTCGTTGCCGCGCGGGAGGCGCCGCCCCCGGAAGCGGGAGCAGAGGCCCGGCGGGCCCCGGCAGAGCCGTGCAGCCATGCCCGCCTTCAGGCAGGTGGGCGAGAAGCAGCTGCCGCAGGAGGTCGTGTTCATGTCCTGGTCCCCCAAAAGGGACCTCATCGCCCTGGCCAACCGAGCGGGGGAGGTGAGTGCGGGTGCCGGGTGAGGAGCACGGGAGGAACGGGCGCTGCCTCTCCCGGCAGGCCCAGATGCCTTTGCTGTTGCTTGGGGCATGTTTCTCGTAAGCCTGGCCAGGCATTTAAGGATAGCAGTTTTGTAAATCAAACGTCTTAATACTTACTGGTCCTTCATTTTTTGCATTCTGATTTCCGAACAAATTCACGTATGATGCGCTCCTCGTTTGTGGGATTTTAAAGTACATGGAAGTTCCTATTTAAATTCAATCTAATTTTAAGTACTTTTCCCCTGCAACTGCAGTATGTGGTCATGCATTAAGACAAGACTCGTGCTTTTGGGCTGTCTGCTAGAGAGCTGATGGGTAACCCTGTGGGTTGGGAGCTTGTATCCTTATGCAAGGCTCAGCTTATTTCTCCGTACTGCTGTAGACTGTGTGCTGCCCTCTAAAAGAGCATAGGAGTGAATTGTCTGCTAGAGGAGCAGGTGGTGTTTAAAACACAGGAGTTAAAAACTGGTGAAAAACACCGTGCATCTTGAACTGATTTGCAAACTTTTATTATCGGGAGAATGTGGTTTAAGTTTGTCTCTAATGCATTTGCTTTGTAGGTTTTACTTCATCGGCTTGCAAACTTTCAACGTGTGTGGAGTTTGCCTCCAAATGAAAATACAGGAAAAGAAGTGACTGCTCTTGCTTGGAGACCAGATGGCAAAAGTAATGTCAAGTATATGAGATGATACAGTGTGATAAAACCCCATGGGAAATCATGAATGATGATGGAAATTTTCAAGTAAACTGTGTTTGAAGAGAAGGGTGGCTTAATTTTATGTAGGTTCATTCACAGCAATAGAGAGATTAACACTGTTGAATGCAACTGCAAGAAAGATTTGTAAGCCGGATTTATGTGTCAAATGCTGCTTTTCAGAGTATAGCAAAATTTCAACCTCCTAACTAAGCAGGATATTTTGTATGAACTACAAAGTTTATTGAGGGGGAAAGAAGCTGTCTGATCAGGATTGATTGAAGAGCTTAGCTTACTTAGCGAAGGCAAAATTTCGTAGGCTAAAATTGCTCTAATTATCGACCAGAGAAGAAAAAAACAGTCTTTTCCTTATTAATAGAAATAATGTTGAAATTAGTTGCTTAATAAACTTCTGCCAGAAATCAGTTAATTTTTGCTTCACTGCAGGTGGGAGAATGGGAACAATCTTCTTCCATGACATGTGGATAAAAACTACCTACATTGTTTTATGATGGCATCTGAAGAGTTTAAGAAACTTCTTTTTAAGCTGATTACCTGTGATTATAAGGAAGTAAATACAGAAACCTCTGCCTGCTATTTGCTATTATGGATGAAGAAAACTAGGAAGAAAGTGGTGCAAAAGTTGCTTGGCAACTCCTAATTTGTCCACCAGACCTTTCTGGTGGACAAAAATATAATATTCGGCAACTCCTAATTTGTGTTTTTTGTCCACCAGACCTTTCTGGTGGACAAAAATATAATATTGGACTCAAGCTGGCAAGATTGGAAGCCTCTACTTTATCAGAACTATTGTTAAAGTTAGAAGCATGTTTGGTTCTAGGTCAGTGTAAAATACACATTTTGCATATTGGGTATTTATACATTTTTCTTGCCTTTCTCTAGTTTTGGCTTTTGGCCTTGCTGATACCAAGCGGATTATTCTGTGTGATGTAGAAAAGCCTGAAAGCTTGCACTCCTTCTCTGTGGAGTTGTCTATTACATACATGCATTGGATGGAAGTAACTGAGGAAAGCAGGTGAGTCTGAAAAGAAATAAAACACAAGCCATGTAATGCCACCTTACTGATAATTTATACTTGGAATGTTATAAGCAGTCACATAAAGTAATACAGTATTCCACAGCTGTGGGGTTTTTTCATCACTTGGCTAAAATTTTCCTTTTTTTTAGAATAGACACTTTTCATATGCTTATTTTTAGTGCTGATACCTTAGTCTTGTGGTTCTTTAGGTAATGCATTAAATTTCTTAAGAGCTGCTTAATCTAGTGTTAGCTTGTACAGCCTGTTGCACTGCAGTTTTGGAGAGAGTTTAAACAGCCTCTGACAGTAACTGCTTTACAGGCAGTGAAGGATTTGGTGACAGGCCTCTGAGCCAGCAGATACAAACTATTCACTGGAAATAATAGAAGATTTTCAGTTCTTTTATTGATTTGATCACTTGATTTTTTTTTATGTGACCTTTAATAGTTTATCCTCTGATATTTGTAATTTTGATATACATAATGCGTTGAATATATACTCTTAACTCTGGAGTGGAAAAGAAAGTCTCTTCTCATTTTTGCAGCTTGGGTAATAAAGACAGTATTACGTCTTTTTCAGTGTTCTCACTTCCTTTTACAATGCTGAAGATGAATCTAACCTCCTTTTGCCTAAATTACCAGCACTACCAAAAAAGTAAGTGTTACTCTAGTAAGCTTGAGGAAATACCATTTGTCATTTGTTGTCAGTATTTTGGTTATTCATCTTTAATGCTCTACAGCTATCTGATCATTGTTACTGAGAGTAATTTTTTTGTTTTCAGTTACAGTACCACTGCAAAAATTTTCAGGTAAGAAATTGTCATAACTCACTATTTTTTCGTTTTATTTTGTTTTCTGGTATTGAGAAAAAATATATAAGCCCTAATCACATGTTTTGTATTTTCAGTGAAGAAAAGTCAGATGAGATTATGAAGCTTCTGGGTGATGTCAGGTAAATTCTGGCTGTGGGTTGGTAGTTGAGTTTTTTTGTTTAGTTGCTTTTTTAAAGAGTTAAAATAATGGATAATTGAATTTACTGTTAAGTTATTTATAATTGTTTATTAAGTCTGAGAGAAATTATATGGAGTATGTTTTTATGTACAAAGATGAAGTTCAAAGACTATATTAAAGCTTCCATCAGTCACCTTTTCTCCTTAGTTTAGAGGGATTATAAGGCAGTTTATCAGTAACTGCTGTTGGTGTCATATCTTCTTAGCAGATTTCTTGGGGTGCATTTGAAGGCTGATTTATGTGTTACTTAGGATGGTCTTGGAGACCATTAAAGAACAAGAATGCTTGTTCTATACAGAGAATTCCCAGGGGTTTGTATGAGTGTGACAAATCTAAAATTAAAAGTAGCTCTGAAACTAACTGTATCAGTGTTACTTTAAAATAAACATCTGTTATTAGGGGACAAGTGAAGGGCAGCTGGTGGAAGTGTAATTTAGCAGACTGAGACTGGCTTTGTGCAGTGCCTTTTACTGATTTTTTGAGGGGGGCACTTAATGTGTGTGCCTTATTTTTTCCATTTCACTGTTCCTTACAGTCTCACCACACAGAACAACCACCCTCCTTAATTCTAATCTGCATTTCTGTCTATCACCAGTTACTCCTTTTTAAAACTCGATAGCTCTCCTTACAGTAGGATTTCCTTGCTTGGGAGAGAGTGAGCTGTCTGTGTATTCTCTCTGCTCTCTTCATCTGCTCAGTTAATCAAACCAAAAGTTTTTAAGATACTGTTTTCCTAAGTTCTGTGTTGGCTTTAACAGAAATATGCTGTTTCAATGTATATTTATTTAGATATGTAACAGGCAGAAGTTGCAGTTAATTTTCTTGTATTTGTAGGCTTTTTCCCAAGTCAGTGTAGCACATTGGTGTTAATAAGTGAGGAAAACATAGACCTGTCTGTCCCAGACTGTATCTTTGAACTGAGTTTCTGTTTCTGATGCATTTCTTAGTTCTGTGGCTGTTATTGCTGCTACCTCCATTTCAAAATGTTCATTGTCTTTGAGGTGCTGAGGAGTGCCACTGAGTGCCTGTGATAAACTCACTCTGCATATAATCAGGGTAATTCAAACCAGCTTTGTAATAACGCTTTGTAGCCTGCATTGGTAAGGGGAAGGTTGCTAGAAACTTTTTACTTTTAGTGAAAAAGGACTCTGTGACTAAACTGTGCTATTTTTTCCCTATTCTCTCAGTTAATGTAATAATTAATGCTCTTAATATAAATGTTAGAGGCAAGTTTTATCAATAAAATCCAAGCTAATTTGTTAGTTTGTTTTTAAATTTCTTGAATCGTGGAAGGTAACAGTATTTCCTTTTGTGCAGGATGGAATTTAAGTATTAAGAATTATATCTGTGTGAATTCAAATTTTTTTCAGTATGCTTATCAACACATTCGTCTATTTTTATAGACTTAATGCTCTTGTCCTTGGTGGCAGCTCAGGATTTATTGAGATATATGCTTATGGAATGTTCAAGATTGCTACAGTAAATGGGGTATGTTTGGTTCCTTTCCATATTTTTTCTTCATAATATACCAAACTACAGCTGAATTGAGTGAAAATATACATATGCTTAAACATAAGTGAAACTGGGCTGCTGAATTTAAAGAAACTAATTGATTGGGTTGTTGGTTATTGATGGAAAGACCTTGTAACAGGGAAATTTAACTCTTGTTTCAGAATTCACTGTTAATACACAATAAAAAGAACAGGTTTGTTCCTGAGCAGTAGCTGAAAATTGCACTTCATTTTTACATGCCATTGAACACAGTCATCTTTGTATGTCAGTGTGTTAGAGCAGTAAATGTCTTGGAGGAAATGAAATGTTTTATTAACTTGTAAACTGGAATCCTTCAGGTGGCAGGTTCTTGTCGTGGACTATGTTTGTCTAGTGATTTGAAATCACTGTCAGTTATCACAGAGATACAAACCTCTCCAGACAGTGAAGCAGAGATAACGTATTTTCAGGTAAGTAAACAAATTTAAAAATGTTTTTTAAAAGTAAAACTGCTTTTTAAATTACATTCTGGTAGCTTTATTGCTTTCCCATTATAACAAAAACTACCTGAAATTACATTCTGAAATTAACCCTGGTTTAGCTACTGAATTTATGATGTTAACATGCAGTTTCACTGATGAGACTGACAATGGTGATATGAGCCATTCTTTTAAAATACTACTTTTAGAATAATGTGAATTTATTCAATTACAGTTACAGTTATTCACATTTTCTCCATTCTGCACACAAGGGCATAACAGCAATGCTTTTGATTATCCTATCTTTCCAGAACAGTCATCCCTAAAATTATTACTGTTAGAACTCCAAAATGTGGAACCTTGTCAGGGGTTTTTATAGATGTATTAAAAATAGTTATTGCTTCTTTGAATTAAATGTATATTCCTTTTAAAATCAACCTGAAAGAGTTGAGAATGAAGAGATTTTCTGTGGGTCCTTCCAATCTGTCTTTTAATTTCTGTAATCTATATATTGTTAAAAGACAAATCATCTGTTAACTGTTGCTTTTTTCATTTGTTATAGTTGGACACTAGTCTGTTATCCAGTTACTTACCTGAGGTAACTCGAATGGCCCGGAAGTTTACTCACATTTCAACTCTGTTACAGGTACAGTTGTGTTTCACCATCCTTTTAGTCTTGTGGTTCTGTAGGCTTTGACATTCTAATGCAAGTGAAATAAATGTTTTGTTGTAAGAAGCTTGAGCTGGTTTTAAGTAAATGTAGAGCTCCAACTTGGAATTTGATAATAAATTTTATATAAGATCTACAGTGTATATTTCCTTTATATTGTAACATCCATTTTTTGAATGTGTTAAAAGGGAGAAAGGAAATAATACTAATGTCAGTTTCTGTATTACAGTATATAAAGCTGTCATTGACATGCATGTGTGAAGCATGGGAAGAAATACTGATGCAGATGGACTCACGACTAACAAAGTTTGTACAGGTACTGTAGGATTTACACTTTTTGCAGTAGTTCTGTTGTTGTTGTTAGTCTATTACATATCTTAATGTTTAAGCATGATGCCTCCAGATAAGAGTCTCTAAGTTCAGAGACAGCCTGGAAGCTGTTGTGTGTCAAGTGCTCTGATGCTAGCTGAAGGTACCTGTGTGCAATCAAGCATAGTTGTATTGTGATACTTTTATTTATTCTGAATTTTTAAAAAAAAATTACTTTTCAGCTTGTGCAGCTGTAGATCAGTTGCTTTCTATTTAAGGCTGTGCTCTTTGTACTCAAGTCATTGATAAACTGATCACTGTAAATATTCAGTAACAACACTTACAGCCTAGTTGAGCTGTAGAGCACGTGTAATTATCCGTGTTTAAGATGCTATTGGATTTGCTTAAATTTTGTGTTCATTTACCATGGCCAGAAGTTAATGAATCTTGTAATTTGTTTATTTTTTAAAATAGATTCTTGGTGGCAAACTACTTAGAATTTTTATTGGGTAATGCAGTTGAAAATAACTTGGAATACTAGAGAAATTTCAGTGATTTGAAAATTTTCAGTGATCAGTAGTCTGATTTCAACATTCAAAGATATGGGTGGGTTCTTTGAAATACTTTATATGGAGTATTTGTGAGATAATTTGGTAGGCTGGATTTAATCTCTTCACCAATCTATTTCAATCATTTTGACTGACAGGAAAAGAATACAACCACTTCTGTTCAGGATGAGTTTATGCAGCTGTTGTTATGGGGCAAAGCAAGGTAGTTACTGTTGTTTTATCTGAGTATGCCTTTGCACTTGATGTTGAAACACAAAATGAAGTGGCTTTTTGGTTCTCTCCCTACCTTCTTCCTCAGTCTGGAACTTCAGGCATTACTAATGAACCAACTGACAGTAAAGGTATGTTGACATTTTTAAAAACATACTAAACTAATCTATTTCAATATCTTTTAATCATTTTTATGTTAAGAGGTCATTATTGTATTTCTTTGTTAACAGGGTTTAAAAAAACTTGGTCAGTCCATAGAGTCTTCCTATTCCAGTATACAAAAGTTGGTTATAAGTCATTTGCAGAGGTAAGTCACAGAATTTCTCATGAATTTTAGATTAAATGGCATATTATATTCTTTGATAAAAGACAATATGCTGCCTTGGTGGTGCTTTCTGTGTTGGTGTGCTGGTATGGAGACTGTGATCATGGCAAAACATTATTTTACTTTTGCATAGTACAGAACTAGTGAAGTATTTTGGATGATATTCATGGTATATCACCTGTAAATTGCTGCCTGGTGTGTTTAATAGGATCTATGCAAAATATTCACACTAACTTTATGTGTCATTGAGACAATATTTGACTTTTCCTGTAGTGATACCATGCCTCTTGTTCATGTCCATGACCACCTTATAAAGCTTTGCACTTTGTGCATTAAATAATAAAAACGTAGCATGCAGCAGAGCACTGAATTTTCAGAGTGTGAATAAAAAATTATGCTTCTTTCTCTGCCTTCCTAGCGGCTCTGAGGCACTTTTATACCACTTGAGTGAATTGAAAGGAATGGCTTTATGGAAACAAAAATACGAGTCTCTGGGATTAGATGCATCTGGAATTGACGGTACAGTAGTGTGTGTGCTACCTACCTGCTCTGTTTTCACTTTTGAAAGGTTAATAATAATGGTTAGCTTTTTTTTTGTTTTACAGAGGCTATTACTGCTGTTGGTTCTTTCATCCTCAAGGCAAATGAGCTGCTTCAGTAAGTACAAAGTCTGGAGAGTTTAAAAAGCATTCCTATTTGGTCTTGTATTGGAGGAGATTGATGGACTGGGAATAGAGGATGTTGGGAGAGCAAGACTCCTCTGTTGGTGGTGAGCTTTCATCTTGTCTCACTGCATGTCAGACTCATACAACAAGAATAGTCTTACTTGAAACGTTGCATTGGGCATTTTGAAAAAAACTGACAGTGCTTGCAGGCCTTTCTGTGGTAAAGATGGGACTTGAGCATGAAGCAGTTTGTGACAGTCAGATTTTGTAATTTCTTTTCTTGTTTCTTGTTTAGAGTGATCGACAGTAGTATGAAAAACTTCAAGGCATTTTTTCGATGGCTCTATGTTGGTAAGATTGGTCACACAGTAATCATCCAGTATCTGTTTTATATTGTAAGCATTGAAATGCAGACAAGTAACTAGGCCAGTCTTAGTTATAACCATCTGTTTTTTTCTATAATAGAAAATTTCTGGACATATAAAAGGGATATAGTTGATGAGGCAAGAGTAATTATAATATTAAACACAGATTATAAATTTGTCAATTCTCAATTAAATTTAGTATATGCAGAGTGGGTATTGTATATACTTCACCTGTAATACTGCTCCAGACTGTTTTCTGCTTCATGAGCAATTTGCTGGCCTTGATTTGGAGAAAAAGAAAGGACTATTTTTAGTCTACACAAAATTTGAATTGTAGCCTTATTTTCTTTTACTCTGTTCCTTGCTGTTTTGTCCTGTGAAAGCCCTAGTTACTTGTAGGGTTCTTCACAGATGTAAACACTCTGAATGTCTACTTGCACTTAGTAACTGCCTTCAGTTGTGTCTGGGTAGCTGCAGAGAAAATGTTAGAAGGAAGTGAAGCACGCTGTATTTTAGCCTGCCTGTTTTTATAAGTGTTTATGAGTAAGTTTATAACTTCTGTCTGATCTTTTTAGAACTTCTTACAAAAACTAAGTGGTATTATCAGATATTGTAAAAGCACCAGATATGCAGTGTTAGCACTTACTACACTTACTAGCAGGAATATAATAGTTCTAATTTAAAAATTGCAGAAAGCAAAACTATATAAGTTCTCTGTCATAACATTATGTTCACTGTTTGTTTCGTTTCAGACTAAACAGACAACTTTGTCCAAGCCTTGCAGATTTAAAATTAATCCTGTGCAATTCTCTTAAAACACATTTTTCTGAGCATGACAGTTTTCATGTATTTTATATATAACCATTTTAGTACTCTTAGTATGGACATGAACAAATTCTAATAAGCCCTTTTCATAATAATTTTGTTTCAGTCTCATATAGGGTAGAATGCAGTTGGAGAAGATTAAAGATAAAAATTATTGAAGATTTGTAATGTAAGCTAGTCAGACTAGAGAGACTTAATTTCAGTCTTGACTTTCAATTCTTCATCCCAGGCTCTTTTGCTTCTAATAAATTCATCTTTTTTAACAACAGCAGTGTCTTACTGCATACATGTGAAAAATTAAGAACATCAGGAAAACAGTATTAATGCAATAAGAATATAATTTTTCCCTCAGCCATGTTGAGGATGTCAGAAGATCATGTGCTTCCAGAGCTGAACAAGGTAAGAGTAACATTTTCAGATAAATGGTGATAGCCTCGATATTCTGCTCATCTTGAAAGCAGAATTAAAGGTTCCTTTTTGTTCCAGAACTTAAAGGGTAGTGTCTGTGTCATTTTTTTGAGAAAGTTGATGCCTGCACATTGACACTAATATGCTGTCGTGCTTGAATTATTTTTTGGTTTTTTTGCTAACACTATTGTATTTAGTACACTGGGTATGCAAGGCCTCTGTATAGCAGCTCTTTATGTGCCCTAAATGATGAAGTTAACCAGAGTGGGATCATGATATCTTTGTCAATGTCCCTATAGAGGAGAGGGAATATATAACAACACAATAATATAATAATACAATAATACCTGCATTGAATTTGCAGCCACCATCACTCTGCCCTCACTTGAGGGCAGAGGTGCCCCAGAAATAGATAGGCTGGAGGAATGGACAGATAGGGACCACCTGCAGTTCATAAAGGACAAAATGCAAGTGCTGTTGTGGGGTGGGTTGACCCCCTGTGAGTGCACCGCTGGAGCTCATGTGGCTGGGAAGATGTCAGCTCTGCCGAGATGATGTGGGAATCACTGGGTGCACACTGGGCATGAGCCAGCAGTGTGCCCTGGTCAAGGTGGGCAGGGGTGACCAGGGTTGTAGTAATGAGAGCATGGCCACGAGGTCAGGGGAAGCAGTTATTGTCCTTATTTAGCACTTGTTGGTTGCATCTCCAGTTTGGGACCGTTCTGTGCAAGACAAGAATGGTCTGGGATGAGTTCAGCAGAGCACTTCCAAGCAGGCTGGAGGCTGGAACACTTGCCTTGTGAGCACAGGCTGAGGGAGCTGTGCTTGTGCAGCCTATAGAACATGTGTTCTGTGCACATTGAAATGTGTTTCTTACCCTTTGCTTTTCTCACTGTTTTTTTTTTTCCTTTTAGATGACTCAGAAAGATATCACGTTTGTTGCCGATTTCCTTACTGAGCACTTCAATGAGGTCAGTGATACTGGTTTTCCAAGTACATGATTTGACTGTATTTTTGCTGACAATAGCTGAGTCTGAAAAATCTTAGAATAAAATAATTTGATCATCTTTCTGTTCACCACTTCTCATTGTTTTTGTGTTTAAATGATGGGTTTGTTTGCATTACTTTTTTAGGCACCAGAACTTTACAATCGTAAAGGAAAATACTTCAATGTGGAGAGAGTTGGCCAGGTAAAGAACTGAGGAATAAATGCAAAAAGAATAAATGAGAAAATCCTTAGATAGAGAAGCTTTTAAAGTTGTGTCCACTTTGCTTCCTTGGCCTTTTTGCTCTGTGTTACACATACCAGTAGTGGTAAAAAAAGAGTAAATTGTTTCACCTTATTATTAGGAAAATGAGGGTTTAAAACCTTGTAGTTTCACTTTACACATGCTGTATTTTTAGGAAAAGACAAAAATATTTTGCAGCAGTAGTAAAACTCTAAAAGCCAGCTTCAGTAAAACTTATGTTGGTTATCTGTATGGCATTAATCACTGCATTTCAAAACATTTGTGTTCAGACTTGATTTAAAAATCAATTTCTAAGGAAATATCACCATGTGATCTTAAACAATAGTTGATTTTTCTTATTGTTTCCAGATGGGGTGGAATATTTAGTTTTAAGACTATGGCATGTTTATTTAACAAGAAATGTTTAATATACTGCTAGGGGCATTATTATATATATTGCAATATTTATATATTGCTAGGGGCAATAGTGAAGGTGAATTCTAGTGTTCCTTTTTCTTAAATTAGTCTTAAAAATGTGTTTCTCTTCTAGTACTTGAAAGATGAAGATGACGACCTTGTATCACCACCTAATATAGAGGGAAATCAGTGGTTTAACTTTCTTAAAGATAGTACTCATCTTAAAGGTAATGTGCTTTCATGAAAAAAAAGTGAATGCAAGATATATGCTGAGTGTAACCAGTGTAGAAAAGTTATCTTTTTTCATGCTTATGAGTTACTTCTGTAGTGCTACTCATTGGTCTTTATCTGAGTGGAATAAAATAAATGGTCCTTGATATTTTGCACAGGGTTTATGTAGTGGCTTACCCAGAAAATTATCATTTTCTGGATATTGGGAGTTCCCCATCTTTTCTGTACCAGTCTCAGAGGTGTTGGCTTGGAAGGAATCCCAGAAGAGGTCTATTTTTAGGATATCTTAATTCCATTTCAAGAAAGTAATAGTTATGCTTAGGTTTTACCTGTGAGAAGTGTCCTAACTTGTTGTCTTTCACTGCAGTCTGAGACTATTTTGTTAATTAGTGGTGTATAGGAAGTAAGAGACTAAAAAGAGCAGATGGTGGCAATTATTCTAGTTTAACTTTAGAAACCAAAGACTGTAAAACCTTGACAGCATAAGCTGCATATAATAGCATTTGCCACAGTTGCCTTTTTCTGCCTATTCAATAAAAGGGGGGAAAATGATAGCATTTTTGTTTGGAAAATAGTCTTTAGAAAATCTGGTTTTAGAGATAATAATTTCTTTAGAGATACAAGCATTTTTTAAATTAACTTTGTCTGTTTACAGAAAGCCCACTTCTGTTTCCCTACTATCCTGAGAAATCATTGCATTTTGTCAAAAGGCAAATGGAAGGGGTCATTGATCAGTGTTTACAAAAGCCAGCAGTAAGTTCTGTTTTTACAAATGATAACTTTCTTTTAGGAATAGTTCAGGTCAACTGAAGGAAGCACTCATGCTTAGCAAGGCCTGAAGCTTTAATCTTTGCCTTTGAGTAACTATAACTTGGGTAGAGTCCAGCTTTACTGCTGGGATATCTCAAGCCTTTGGCCAGGGAAAGCACAGTGGGGGATTTTTTTAATATATTCTGTTCACATGACTTTGGGATCTGGTTTTAATGTTAAATATGTGATACGTGTGTGTATGTGCTGTGTACCAAATAACTGTATTATAACTGTGTTAGTTGGCAATACATTATTCTAATATGGAGAAACATGAAACAAATGTATGAAGTGACAGTAGTGTTTGCATTAGGGATGTTTATCCAGAATAAATATTGGTGGAGTTTTATTTCAGATGTACTCAGAGGTTGTTGGTAGGTTGGTTGGGTTTTGGGTTTTTTTTCTTAAAAATATGTATAATTATGAATAACTGCCTGCATTTTATGGCCTATTTTTATTATATTTGTTAGGATGTAATTGGAAGGTCAGTGCATCAAGCAGTCTGCATGTCTCTCTACAAAGTTTCTCAAAGGTATTTCTTTACTAAAAGCAGCTAAAGAAATGTGCAACTAAAACCCATGCATGAGTAGCATTTTATAAACTGTTCTGTCTTTCCTTTGCAGTGAAGATTCCACACCTCAGTTATTTAAATTACCATTTCTGTAAGTATGCTGTTATTCCTTGTTCCATGTAGTTTACCAGTTATTAAAACTTGATCTGAATTTTCATTTCTTCCCCCACATTGCAGGTGGAATGACAAAACATCTAACTTACATTATGTTCTCTTCACCATGTTAGAAAATTCTATTTCTAAAATACACATTTTGAGGAGACATACTGATACTTCCAGGTAAGACAAAAAGAGGGAAAAAGTGGTGTGTGAGCTTTGCCACATTTGTACAGAGACACAATTTAAATCTATTTGTAAAAATAAGGAATGGGCACCATGAATACAATCTCTCTTGAATACTAGAGAAAATTAGGAGTACATTAAGTGCAGTAGGGAGCTGCAGCAGAAGTTTTTGTTGTATTAGACTCAGAAAATCTTATCTCAAGACCCAAGATGGTTCTGGGATAAGGAAAAACTGATACTCCATTAGATTGCTGCTACGAGAATTACTTATTTGTGCAACTTCTGAAAAATTACAAAGAATCCTGCTTCCACTGTTGCTTTGTCTTACTGCAAATGGTATTCTTTGGTTAATGTCTTGCAGTTTGTTATTTAATGATGGCTTTCTCTTCTCTGCGTAAGAAGAGGAGATTAGTTTTCCATTTGACTCCATTAGTCATGTTTTTCTGAGGAGCAGAAGAATTTAAAAGGTTCCCATCCACCAATCACATAATTTTGCCATGCAGACATGTGTTGTGCTATACCACAGTTGCCATTAGAGATTTTGGATTCTCAGTGAAGGGAAAGGTTTTTGTCACTGAGACAATTAACTCTGTTGTTCTAGGTCTGTCAGTAATGGGATTCTTGCAGTAGAGTTTGGAAACTTCTTGAACAACAGTATAAATGAGAGCTCAGACTCCAGGTCAGTATATTTGATTTTTCTTGCAGATTGCTTAATTTAAAATCATATTTCCTGCTAATTTTCTTGCATTGTTACCTTTGAAGTTAACTCACCTGGGTGAATCAGGGTGTAAGAAATGGCACAGGTGCATGAAGCTGCAGAATAGTGCAAATCTTACTTTGCACTTCATCTCCAAGTCAAGTAAATTTTAGTTTTCCATTAAAAATTAAAGCTTTAACACATGTGCAAGAAACAAATCTAGCTGGAAACAAGTGTTGTTTATCTCTGTGATATTCTTTAATAAGATAAGATTTGGTATGCCTGAATGTAGCCATCTTAGAAGGCATATGATAGACTAAACTCACCCTTTTCATGTAGAAAAGCCAGATGTGATTTGCCCTCAGTACCTTCAGCTGTATTTCAATTTTTCTTTGGTATTTATGTTTGGTGTTTCTTGTGTTTCATCTGAAATGTGAAGGTTGCTTACAAACCCTTACAAATGGTAAGGGTTTTTTGTGAGTTGCTTTTTTTTCCCCTTCAGAATAATTTTTCCTGCATGATGCAGGAGTCTGCCAGGTTATGGCTCTCATTCAGTCATAGCTGCACAACTGACCTCTTTTATTATTTGTTATTATGTACAATGAAGCTCACTGTTAAGTACTGAATACTTTTTAACATGAGTGCTGGTCAACTTTAAAATATTTTAGTTCTGCATTCTCTTATATTACTTGATGCTTTCTAATTATTTTCCTCTAGATGCTACAGTTGTTTGGATGCTCACTTCTATGATGATGAAACTGTAACTGTAGTTCTGAAAGAGAGTGTGCAACAAGAGGGGAAGGAGAGAGTCTTGGCTCAGCTGCCTTTATCTTCAGTATATACTGATGAGGACCAAGACAGGAAATTCATTTGGGATTCTATGGAAAGGTACTGAAAAACCTTGAGCAAATCTGAAAATGTAGAACTGAAAAGCAAATCAAGCAAATATTGTGATTGTGTACAGTTACTCATATTTTGCACATGTATAAATATTTTAAAGACAGAAACTCTTATTATGCCAGGAGAGTAGGATGGGGGGAGATGGAAGCTTCCTAAATAGTTTGTTTTGTAATTGTTGGTTTTTGGGAGGTCGGTTTTGGTTTTTTTGATACTGATACTACTTCTGTACCTGGCTGTCATGAAATGGAAAGATCAGCTGAAGACACCTTGCAGAATCAGAAATCTTCCTTAGAAGATGCTGACTTTGCTAGTCAGAATACTACAATTTAGGATGTTTTCAGCATATGTGCTCCTATACCTCTGCCTTGTAATAAGAATACAAAGGTATTTCTTGATCTTTCCCTGGTTGCCGCCCTTACAAATATCGTCAGCTTGATTTTAAAACATCAGAACTGGTACTGCTGTCTGCATTGGCATAGGTAGAGGAGAGCATCAGGTGAAAGTGAACACACACACAAAGGTCAATGTAGTTCAATTAGTGAATCCAAACCTTTAGTTTCTGTGTGTTCCTTGCTTTTACTTTTCTCCCATTCTTCTCTGGTGGTTTGCTTAAGATGCATTTTTATTTCAAAATAAACAGCAACACTGAACTGTAAATTAACGTTTTATGCCACAAAGATATTGTGTATTGAAGAATGAACAAAAAATATTTAAAGCAAGGTCAAAATCATCTTGGCTGCTGTAATAGGTAGGAAATGTCTTCATACAATCCCTATGAGTGGGGTAGTGATGCATATTTGAAAGGTCATGGAGGCCAAACTTCTGTGTAAGGAGAGGCACCGCATCCAGGATTGTGTTTGGAAGCTCCTCTTTGTGCAGAGGAGAGGTTTGAAAAAAGCCACCCACATCCTGCTACAGCTGTTTCTTGTGGGAAGATCAGACTTTACAATTCCCTTCTCACCTGCTGTAATGTTTTTAACTCAGTTGGAACGTGCCGTGTCTCTACAGTTGGATCTCCTGCTCTAGAGTATCATAGTGGCATTGTGATGGTTTCAGAGGCTTATGTGCTTGTTGCATATGATGAAATTTAGACAGGAGATACTGGAGTTTTTCCTTAGAACTGCAGTTGTTTCTTGTAGAACATCTTTGTGCTTTTTTCCTTGCTGTGTGCAGGCTGGATGAGCGAAGCGGTGAGATACCCACACGTACTGTCTTCTTGGAGAGTCAGTGGAGAGTGCTGGAGAACATGAAAGCTCAGTATGTTTCTGTAAATGGCATTAGAAAAGTTTCTTGTGTGGTAAGTGCAGTATTTCTGATAAAGTCTTTCTATTAAAGGAAGTGTGCTGACTGAAGTGGTATCCTAAAAGTTACCAATTTTTTTTTTAACAAATAGATTATTTTTTCATAATCTGCTATTAGTGTGTCAGGATACAGTCATGCCATAATAGCACAGGATGGAAAAACTTTAACAGAAGGTAGTAGATCTGCTTGCTTTACTTCTCAGCCTGTAGAGCAATAAAAAAGTTGCTAATTCCCTTGAAACCATAATTTCAAAGATAAAGGTTATTTTCCAAGCTATTGGCTGACAATTAAAATGCTGGTGGTGTTTTTACTTATTTGGTCATTAACAGGAACTTCTTACTGTCTCTATAGCTAAGTTCAAACCTCCGCCACATCAGGGTGTTTGAGATGGATGTGGAGGATGATGGGGAAGTTGAGGAAGAAGAGGAAGAAGAAACAACTCAGATTGCAGCTGGGGACCCTGATGAGCCAAATCAGCCTGCAGATGGCCAGGACAATGTGTGTGATGCATCTGCTGAAGAACTACCTGAAGAAACTGAAGAACATGAGACAAGTCTGGATCCTTGAAATAGGCTTTGGTAATAGTAAAGGGACAGGACCGAACTGTGAATACTGTTTTTAATGGCACAAAGAAATTGTGTGTTGAAGAATGAACAGAAAATACTAAAAGCAAGTTCAAACTCTTCCTGGCTGCTACAGTAAGCAGGGACACTATCAGTACTGTCCCTGGGACTGGGAGTGATGTGGAGTGATACATTTGAAAGGTCATCTAACTAGTTAAAAAGTAATCTGACTTCAGGCTGCTGAGATGATGGATCCCATACCTCCTCAAGCAGCTGAATCAAGTTGGAATTCTGTATTGCTTCTCAGCTAAGACTGTGTTCTAGAGTACCTTTATTGACTCTTTTCTGTCTGGGGCACAGCTAAAGCTTCGAAAGCTTTTCTGTTTGCCATTTTTAAAAGGTGAAGAGAAAAAGAAATACCAGCTGAAGTTTTTGTAGCTAGTCTGTTCAGTCCTGGATACTGTTATAAAGATAAAATAAAGTTGTATATAAAACCAATAAAACTTGGGGCCTAATTTTTTGCTTCTCAGACTTTGTGTTCTAATAATGTGTGCGAAAGTTTCCTGTAGAACGAAAACGTAAGATTGCAAATCAGTGTAGGGCTAGTTAGACAAAAAAAATTAGCAACTGTTAATGAAATACATAGTTTTAAAAGCTCTTTGGATGACACTCTGTCCTTGGTTACACAGCATTTCAATCTATGCAGTTCTTTAGTCCTCAGTGCAATGTGTCTGTGCAGTGCATGTTTGTTCAAATGTTTGTATGTCTCAGCCTGCCTAGTTTCTGTGAATTTGTTCCTGAAAGCCTGTTTTCTCAGTCTGGAATGTTTTGTAATGAAAAATTCAACAGAGAGTGTATTTTTTTATTCTGATTTAGCACTGGGAGTTGTGCACAGCTCTCAGCATAATCATGTTACTTGCAGTGTATATATTACTGTAGGCATGATGTAGTGCTAAGCAGTAGGAACTAGAAACAGGATTTAGAAATCTAAAATGCTTTCTTCTTCCCTACTAGCTGCCGTTCTTAACTGACTTAAAACTCAGCTCTTTGAATGAACAATGCTGCTTAATGCATGATCTTCCTTCAGAACAGTGAGTGTACCTTGTATTTGTGAAGAGGACCAAGTTTCCATTCTGTGCTTTAAAAATATATGTTTTGAAATTGCTATTTGGCATTGCAAAATTTGAATACTAAACTTACCCTCCTATTTTGAAATAGACTATTTTTAAAAACTTTTTTTAAGTGGACTTCTGAAGGTTTTGATCTTTTTGGGGGAGACCCCGGTAAAATAAGCTTTCAGTTTTGAAAGAGACTAAGCTTTTCCCTTTCCTAACAACCTCCTTGAAAGCTGCTTGCTGTTCATCATTCTCATGCAACAGATGGTCACATTTCAAGGCACAGTGAAGCTGCAGGACAGGAGGGGCAGAAATACCCATCCAGAAGTGCTGTGATTTTCTGTGTAGAGCAGGTAACTCTTACCAAAAAATTGCTGTTGCAACAGAGCCCACTCAGCTTAAACCTGGCCTTGTGTTCTTCCAGGAAAGTTTTGCATCTGATCTAAGTTAGAGTTGTCACATCAAGGGCTTAGAAGGAATTGTTCCGGTGTGTTTTGTGCTATGTAGTTTTAGTCCATGTGCATATCTGATCTGCCCCAGTAGTTCCTAAATCTGTGTTAGTAGCAGATGTGTCCCATGTCACAGGGGTATGTCTTTCAGACATCTCCCTAAGGTTATTCTGTGCACCTTTCTAGTCCAGTCTTGGGTAAACTTGAGTCAGTGGGAGCTTTGTGTCTGGCTTAGATAAGTCCATGTGCACCTTGTACATTTCACAGTGACACAGTACCGACACACCAGTGGTCAGTGCTGCTGAATGCATTGCTTATTCCTTCTGGCAAGCTTTTTAAAAAATCAATTTGCTGACAGATTTCTGTAATAATAAATATGTCAGTAATTCATTTATGCACCTGTTTTCAAAAGGATGTTAAGAATCATTTGATCTAGAAGTATTTTAGGATTTTGGTGGTGTCTGGGTGTGATGGTTTCTCATTTACCATTTTGATCTCTTATCTCTTATGCTAACTGAAGGCTCAGTCAACCTTTTTCTGTGGGGTGTTGTTATAATTTACTGATGGTTTTGTAGACAAAAAACTTCTATATTCTCAGCAGGCATGCACACAATCCACTCTGTAATACAAATCTTTAGGTCTCTAAGCAACATTTACTGCTGCCTCTTTTTTAATATCTGTTTGTTTTGTGTTCTGCATTACTATTTTTTTTAAAAGATCTTAACACAGCTTCTATTTTCTGCTCTTCACCTGTGTAATCCCTTTTCCAGACCTTTTGCCCATACCTGTTCTGCCTGAGCTCTTAAAAATTTGTCCCATTGCCAAGTGTGTGCTTTGGTCTCTCACCAGTTGGTGCTGTTTTGCTCCACAATCTGGACATGCTGTGGTACCATTGCCTCCCACTTACATAGATTTTGTGGCACATTTACACCTTCCTTTGTAAACATACACTTGAGCTGCTTAAAAACACAGAAGATGGATATTTTTGTTCACTATTGCTCTAAAAAATGCCTCTAAAATACCTAAAAAAATGCCTTAGACCCCATTTGTAAACCTTGACAAAATGGGAAAGCCCTCTCTGTAAGCACAGAAATTCCTTAGTGTGTGGCCTGTATTTAATATCTGTAGTCAGAATTGGTTTGTGTATCTTGTTACCTACTGCAGCAGTAACATCTGAGAGCTCTCATGCTACTGGGAAGCTCTTGGAGTTGTGGCTATAATCTCAATTTCTTGCTTCACAAGCTGTTTTAGGGGAAGAGCTGTCTTAGTTTGTGCCGTGGAGCAATGGTAGCAGTCTAAGAAGCCCATATGGGAGAGGGGAAGGAAAACTTCACCATGGATCATGTTGTAAAGCAGTAAGGTGAACAAGAGAGAGGCAAAATGACATAGGGATCTCTAGGGAGAATGCCCCGTTGAGGAGTTCCAAGAAAAAAGCCAAAACTACATATCACCTCTGTAAGCTGAAGAGAAGAAATGCCACTTGTAGGTGAATAAAATACATTTAACTTTTCCTTTAGGTTAAGTTATGTTGCTGCAAGGAAACCAGCAGGTGTAGACCATTGGTGCCAGCGAAGTCCAGGGTTAAATGACATTACAATGGGCTGAAGTGTCCTGTGGTGTTCAGCATTCTGTCCACAGGGGGTATTATGGCTTCTGCTCCCAGCTGGCAGCATCCCAGCTCTTTAGGTAGGTTAGGTAATCATGCCTGCTCCTACTTTTATGCAGTTCTCACGCTTACCCTACAGGGTAAAGAGTCGTATCAGGTTTAATTCTGCCAGCTCCCCCCAGGAGCCCTACCTCCCAGAGTGAGCGTGCTCTTGCTGACAACACTATAGCTGGTGTCCCTTTTTCTCTGTGTTGTCACAAGGAGTCCTAGATAGACCTCCTGGATTCAGGAGTCTACCTCCTGAATTTTGTGCAGACTGCTTGGGCATGCACATTGAGGTGCTTATGAGTACGTGGATATGAGGGTGTGAGTGAATGAAATTGGGTTTATATTAAAATGAAACTGGCTTCCCTTACACTGCCTGAATTTATGGTTTGCTATGTTGCTGTTGTTGATTATGTAAAAAACAAGGGCAAAGAGATAGAGCCAGTGCCTTTTAAATTTTGAAAGGATGGACCCAGTATTAAGAGAATATTAAGAACTCTCTTATTAAGAGTATTAAGGTGGAGAGAAAGAGCTAGATGCAAATGTTTTTAGCAATGTATCTGATGCCTTCTCCCAGGAGCTGTTCAAGACCAAGATGATGGTACCCTGAGCAACCTCATTTAGGGAGTGGCATCTCTGCCCATGGCATGGGTGTTGGAGCTAGATAATCCTTAAAGTCCCTTCCAACCCAGACCATTGATGATTCTATTATTCTGGAAGACTTAAAATAACAGTCCAGGGTTTAGGGTCATGTTGATTTATCTGTGGTCTCTATTAAGGATTTTTATGCTTAATTTAAATTGATGGCTCGCTTAGGAGTGACACTGAGAGTGGGTTTGGCTTGACATTGCAAACCAGAAAGGAATTGTGGTAGAAACTGCAGCCAGAAGAGAAGGAAGAGACATTCTGTCCCCACTTTCCTGTCTCTCCAATGCATTTTATCTTTGTAGATTACTGATATTTCCTTGACCTGAACCTTGATTGCTCAGTACTGAGTGAAGGAGCAGCCTTATCTGTTGTGGTTGAGTATATTGACATTTGATGGGCACAATCTTAGCTCTAGCCAAAGTCCTGTGCCACCCTGTCCTTAACCCAGCAAAGCCAATCGGGGTCAGCCTTTGGTTCTAAAGTCCTGGTTGAAGGAGTTCCCTCAGGAAGGGAGACTGCTTCCCTCCTTTCCTTCCTTCTAGCTTAAGACTGAGCTACTAATCAAAGCAGCTTGGAAGATGTCAGTAAACATGCTCATCTGATTCTCTTCATAGCATTAACAAGAGAAATATGCATGTCTTCACACTCCAAGAGGAGTGGTAAACAAAATCAAGAAAAATGTTTACAATTTGTTGAAATGAAGTGCATCAGCAGAAGTGCCAATTACATGTTTTGCAGAACAATTCCAGCAGGAACTCTTAATTGCAAAGGCTGTCTCTTCAAGTGAAGCTTTGCCAAAATCTCTGTAGCCGTGTTGGAATTGGGTTGCCTCAAAGAGAGCCAAGGCAGAACTTCATAGCAAGAGTATCTCTGCTAATTATAGGTGCAGGGAGGGGAGGGTGTCCCAAAAAAAGTAAGTAAAATTTACACTTTCCATTTTCCCTCAGTGTTTGTTGACTGTGTTTTTCTTTTCCTGTGTCACAACTAGAGACTTTCAGATTTAAGGTCTTGTAATAGACCCAAACTTTCCTTTCATTTTCTCAGCTTGCATTAGAGATGGCATTACCTTTTTTTTCTGCTCTCGACATGCTAACATGCATGTACTCGTGGCAACAGTACATGCAGCACAGCTGTTGTTGTGTTGAATTTGTATTCTGAGTTGAATTTGAATTCCTAGATTGGGATTGTCCAATCTTTGGTGAGCCACTTTCAGAAAAAC